TTTTGTGGTACGCGGGCCTCTCACTGTTGTGGCCTCTCCCATTGAGGAGCACAGGCTCTGGACGCGCAGGCTCAGTGGCCATGGCTCACAGACCTAGCCGCTCTGTGGCATGTGGGATCTTCCCGGACTGGGACACGAACCCACGTCCCCTGCATCGGCAGGCGGACCCTCAACCACTGGCCACCAGGGAAGCCCCTAGTCTCCTTTTGATGTATGTAAATGTAATACATATGAGAAATATAACCTGAGGGGGGAAGGTAAAAGTACCTATTTTACTTGAAATATTCATTCTAAACTGACTGTGAAAAGGTATGGCAGGTATATATGTTGTATTCCCTTAAAGCAACCACTAGGAAAACCAAAAAAAAATGTATAACCCCAAAACCCATAGATTAATTAAAATGAAAAGCTAAAACCTATTCAAATAATCCAAAAGAAGGAAGTAAATGAGGAATGAAAGAACAAAAACCAAAGGAGACAAATAGAAAATAAGTAATTAAGTGATATACTTAAATCTAGTCATATCAATAATTATATTAAATGTAAGTAGTCAAAACACGCCAATTAATAGACAGATTGCCAAATTAAATTGGGGGCGGGAAACCTAACTATTTCTGTCTATAAAATACCCTTGTTAAATATAACAATACAGATACATTACAAGTAAAAAGATGGAAAATGATATATTAAGCAAATGTTAATTTTAAAAGAAAAAAATATAGTGGTAATTAGTATTAGATCAAGAAAAATTACCAGGTGGGACTTCCCTGGCAGTCCAGAAGTTAAGCTTCCATGCTTCCACTGCAGGGGGCACAGGTCTAATCCCCGGTCAGGGAACTAAGATCCCGCATGCCGAGAGACACAGCCAAAAAGTAGAAAATAAAGTGAAATAAAATGTGTTATTTCTTAAAAAAAAAAGAAAACTTACCAGGGATCAAGAAAGATATTATTAATGATAAAATGGACAATTCACCAAGTGTGTTAGTTTGCTGGGGCTGCCATAACTAAGTACCACAAACCGAGTGGCTTAAACAAGAGAAATTTATTGTCTCACAGTTCTGGAGGCTAGAAGTTAAAAATCAAGGTATCAGTAATGTTGATTCCTTTTGAGGGCTGAGGGAGAATCAGCTTCCTGCCTTTTGCCTAGATTCTGGTGCTTTGCTGGCAATCTTTGGTGTTTGCTTGACTTGTAGAAGCATCACTCCAATCTCTGGCTTCATCTTCGCAGTCTTCTGCCTGTATACGTGTCTGTGTCCAAGTTTCCTCTTTTTATAAGCACGCCGGTTGTACTGGGTTAGAAGCACACTCTACTACAGTACAACCTCATCTTAACTAATTACATCTGTAACCACCCTATCCCCAAATAAGGTAACATTCTGAGATGCTAAGGGCTAGGACTTCAACATATGGATCTGAGGGGAACGCAATTCAATTCATAACATCAAGGAGACATAACAATACTAAATGTGTGTGAATATAAACTCAGATTTTCAAACTACATGGAGCAAAAACTGGTAGAACTAAAAGGAGAAAGGGACAAATCCACAATTATAATTTGAGAATTATGAGGCACAGATTAAGGCTAGGTGATGCCGTAAACCCAAACCAACAACAGTGACCCTTGTAAAAGAAAGAAAAAGCATACACACTGCGGGGGAAAAGAAGAAATCAAATTGTCTTTGTTCACAGATGGCATGCTTGTTTATGTAGAAAAATCCAAAGGAATCTACAGAAAAGGCTCCTAAAATGAATGATTGAGTTTTGCAAGGTCACATTTTACAAGGGTAACATAAAGTATCAGTTGTATTTCTATAAGCTAGAAATAAACAATTGGAGATCAAAAATGCTAACTACTATTTACTATAGCATCCAAAAAGGAAATACCTAGATATTTATCTAACACAATGTGGGCAGGATCCATAGGCTGGAACCTACAAATCCCTAATGAAATAAAACAAATAGGATCTAAGTAAATAGAGAGAGACACTATTTTGTGGAGTGTAAGACTCCATAACCCTCAGATTCATCTGTAGAGTCAATGCAATCCCAGTTATAATCCCATATTGACAAGCTGATTCTTGGTGGAAATATAAATTGGTACAATAACTTGGGTCAACTGTGTAGCAGTGTGTATTAAGGATGGGGATGTACACACACCATGACCCAGCAATTCTACACCCAGACTTACACCCAACAAATACACACTTCCATTCACCAAACATAACGAACAAGGACATCCAGGGGAGCACGACTAACTGAAAGCTGTAAACTGCCCACGGGTTCCACTACAGATGGATACAGGTACATGGCGGTAGAGTCGCACAATAAGATTTAGAAAAAAAAAAAAAGGGCTTACCCGGTGGCGCAGTGGTTGAGAGTCCGCCTGCCGATGCAGGGGACGCGGGTTCGTGCCCCGGTCGGGGAAGATCCCACATGCCGTGGAGCAGCTGGGCCCGTGAGCCATGGCCGCTGAGCCTGCGTGTCCGGAGCCTTTGCTCTGCAACGGGAGAGGCCACAACAATAAGAGGCCCGCGTACTGCAAAACAAACAAACAAACAAAAACCCCTGTAAATTGATGAGTCTCACAAAAAGTCTACTGAGTGAAAGATGCCAGGCATGAAAAAGTACAGGATACATGTATATACTTTCTATCAAGTTAAAAAACAGGGAAAACACATATGTACTGTTACAAATCAGGAAAGTAGTTACCTTCTGGGAGAGGTATGATCGGATGGGGTGAGAGGGCCTCTATCATTCTGGTAATATTGTGTTTCTTGATCTTGGTACTGGTTACACAGATGTGTTCAATCTGTGAAAATTCACCCCAATCATTTGTGTATTATTCTTTATTTTGAATTGATTTTTGGGGGGGGCCACACTGTGTGACATGTGGGATCTTAGTTCCCCAAACAGGGATTGAACCCGTGCCCCTCACTGCAGTGGAAGCGCAGAGTCTTAACTGCTGGACCATCAGGGAAGTCCCTGTGTACCATTCTTGACATATGTTATACTTCACCATCGAAAAAATTGGAGTGTCTTCTCCTGCCTCAAAATGCAATTTGGAGTCCTAAGTTTTCAGTACCCACTCAGCAGTTCCTGGAGGCATTGTGCAAACACACACTCACACCAGCACACATACAAGTGCTGTCCCACTTCCGCGTGCCACACAGGAAAACACAGTGACATATATTCATTCACACATATGCACACACATGTATGTATACAAACATGCACATACATAGCCACACACCCATGTGTGGGTTTTCTCCCGTGTGTTGTGACGTGTCTGTGGTCCCAACCTTCACCCCCCTCCCCAGCCTTAGCTGCTAAGCTCTTCTCACACAGGAATTCTGTGTTTTCTTTTTTGTCCCCTGCTGGGCCTGCCTCTTTGACACACAAACAAATAGTTAAGTGTTTAATGCTGACACACTGAAGCGTGCAGAGTTAAAAAGCTTTGGCTCTTAGAAATCTCAACACTGGAAATGATAGCAGGTGGCTTCACCCAGAAATTTTGAGTGACCATGTTCTGCTCTCCCCACAGCTTAGAAGAAAAATAAACAAAGGCAATGAAAACACTTCCGGATGGGTAAAGTAGTTTGTCCTGGTAGCAGACACCTCTTCCTTCTTCATAACTTATGTGGATTCATCGAGGAATTCACTCATGCACAGATTGTAAGAAGCTGAAGAAAGATCTCAAGTCAGACCTCTGGGTGGAGAAAGAAGAAAACAGGAAGAAAGAATGAAGGAAGGAGAGAAAAGAGCAAAAGAGGAGGCGGTCAAAGGAGAGAAGCAAAGGTTTGAGCGTTTTGTCTTGCAAAGTAAGTTTGGGAAGAAATCATGGCCAAGTATACACTTAAAAATCTTTGTGGTCAGTGATGAAGTGCATTGACTTTTTAAAAATTTTTTATTTTATATTGGAGTACAGTTGATTAACAATGTGCTAGTTTCAGGTGTGCAGCAAAGTGATTCAGTTCTACATATACACGTATCTATTCTTTTTCAAATTCTTTTCCCATTTAGGTCATTACAGAATACTGAGCACAGTTCCCTGTGCTATACAGTAGGTCCTTATTGGTTATCTATTTTAAATATAGTAGTGTATACATGTCAATCCCAAATTCCCCAACCCTTCCCCCCTAGTAACCATAAGTTAAGTCTGTGGGTCTGTTTCTGTTTTGTAAATAAGTTCATTTGTATCATTCTTGTTTAGATTCCCCATATAAGCAATATCATATGATATTCGTCCTTCTCTGACTTACTTCACCTAGTATGAAAGGATACATGCATCCCAATGTTCACTGCAGCACTGTTTACAAGAGCCAAGACATGGAAGCAACCTAAATGTCCATCGACAGAGGAATGGATAAAGAAGATGTGGTACATATATACGATACAATGGAATATTACTCAGCCATTAAAAAGAATGAAATAATGCCATTTGCAGCAACATGGATGGACCTGGAGATGATCATACTAAGTGCATTGACTTTTTGATGTTCTCTGATGTTCTCACAAAGGGCAGTCATAGAGCACACAAAATCAGCCACAATGCCATTTAAATCACGAACCACCACCATGCCCAATATGGTTCCGGTACACAACACTCTTGCCTGTGTTGCCAGATCACACCAGACAGTGAGCAAAGTTAGGTCACAATGATGACCGCTCAATGGAAATCTTGTGGATCTGCCCTTGCTTGGAGGTTTCTAACCTCTCCCACATCGCTGGGGTTTCCGTGGACATGTTTCACCTGTAGTTTTGTGCCTGGTCCCCTCAGCGACCATGTGGCGCCCACCATTTTCCTCTCATACCTGCCTTAGCTGATTGCCTGGATCTCTGGCCAGACTCTGATGTC